TGTCTGAGCATAAAAATATACAATTGACTAGTTCTGAACGGAAACTATCATAGAAGGCGTAAAGTAAAATAATAAAATAAAATAAAATACAGAAAAGAACTCAAAGGGAAAAGAAACAGCTCCGTGGCCGTGGAGGAGAGTGGAGTATCAAACCCAGCTTCTCAGGGTCCTTCAATAGTGGGGCCTGGGTCCAGCCTTCCTCTGGATCCACTGTAGGTCTCAATTGACAAGAAACTTTGGCGGGCAACTGGCATCCACATCCTGGCAGAATGCACTGAGGAGCTGAGTGGATGCAGAGATCCACAGATGGAGTGAAAGTGAGACCCTGAGCCCCAGAGAGGATAGGATCAACCACAAGCGACTTTTTAAAGCATTTACCACTTAAAAACCTTTTAGCTGGACCCATGCTGAATGTAGCACTACACGATTTTAAATACCCCTTTCTAATTCCTCAGCTGCCCCTCCCCCAAGTCAGTGACACTTCCTTTTTCCAATTCTGTACTTTTATTTCAGAACCATCACGAGCGCTACTTACTGGATCGTGTCCTGGCTGCCACAAATGGCTGCTCACTTATCCCCTTGACTGAAGACAGAGATTGGGTGGGTTCATCCCTGAATCCTGATCAGTCTCCATTCCCATCGCACAGATGGGGACCTGAGATGGGTGGAAGCCACACAGCCCAGGCAGAGAAAGAAACACGCCGACAAAATCCGCGCTCCACTCCAGAAGTGACTGCAATTCTTGAGACTTCCACATCATCTAGCAGACCCACAATCGTGCAAATAACAGCGAGAGGACCCATTTCATTTTTTCCTTCCCCAAAGTACTGGGTGCTGGTTTTCAAAACAGAACGCCTGGAGGCCTGGGCACCTGCAGGGCTGCAGTCTTTGGAAGCTGCTTAGATGTGGCTCCAACACACGCACAGACATCCCCACACACAAAAAAGGAAGCAAGGGTTAAGTGTGTGAGAGCCAACGCTGCGTCTCATCACCACACACACACACACACACACACACACACACACACACACACACACGTGCCCACTCACACTCAGTACTTGAGGGTATTGGGGACCTATATGGCTGGGGTAGGGGTGAGGCATGGGGGTCTTGGTGGCTTCACGTGTAAATCCGATTTGCAAAGAAAATAACTGTGGCTGGGAGGCTCTTGTAGAAATCGATTTGATAGATGCCTCTGAGGGATAACCACATCAGCACTGTCAGGGTTCCATGTTGGAGTCTCGGGGAGAAGTGGGGGGGGGCTGTTTCAGAGACAAGCTCAGGTCTAACTTTCTGTGCTCATTCAGGAATTTGTAATTAAGGATTAAACTTCTAAAGTGTGATCAATTAACTAACGTGCCCAAATGACAAACCTAAAAAAGCCAAACTCCATTCCCCACTTCCTACCCCGACAAACACAGGAAACCAGGGGTGGGTGTGGTAGGGGAGGGCACGCTGGCCTTTTCCACGGACGCCAAGTGTCCAAAACGCACTTCGTTACAAAGGAAGGAACAAGCACCATGAGGGAAGGGCTTGCATTTCTCAAGTGGCCGCCAGTGCGGTGTATTATGCAGCTTTGCAGGCTGCAGCTGGGTACGGGAAACGCAAGGAGATGAAGTGGAGGGGAAGGGAAGGGATGTGCCTGTCGGAAATGGGAAGCAGACATCATTTTCTCCTCAAAGCGACAGAACGAGCATGGTGACGCTGAAAGTCCCTCCGAGTCCATCAACGCAGAGCCACAAGGCCTCTTGGAAGGAGGCGAAGCAAACGGGGAGGCTGCACTAGGCGGGTAATCTTGCAGGTGTCCATCGGGTGGTGTGCATAGGAAGCTACAATGGCCTGGCTGCATGAGATCACAATCCACCAGAAAGGAGATTAAAAAAGAAGAAGAAGAAGAAGGAGGAAAGGAGGAGGAGGAGGAGGAGGAGGAGGAGGAGGAGGAGGAGGAGAAACTGCTTCTGTATATCATGAATGATCACATTCTGACAACATACTGGCCAAGTTGATGGAACAGAAATTCACAGAGAAACCCACAACTACCTCAAGTCACTATCTGAGTTCTAAACTAACACACATAATCTTGGTTTATTAAGGTTTTTTTTGGGGGGGGGGTTGATGAAATTTCGATTGCCCCACATGTGTTTAAAATAGAAACAGAGCGTAATTAAGCTTACTTTCATTGGGGGAGAAAAACTGAAATAAAGAAAATCATTTGTGTCGGCAACATACTGGCCAGCCAGGTCACCGAGAGTGCTAAAGTGAGCTGAATGAATCTGGAAATGCTTCTGCCCCATGCCATCTCCAGAGAGGGGCTTGCTTTCTGATTATTTATTTTTCTTTCTTTCCCTGGAGTTGCTTTGGCTTGTCACTTCTTGGTCTCCTCTTCAGACCCAACCTGAACAATGTCAGTGGTAGTCTCTGGGCGATGCTAACGGGTGATGTGGTGAGATGTGGACAGCCACACATCAGGCACCGGGCTGCAGTGGACTGCTTTCTCCATGCCCGGCACAGCCCGTGCTCAAAACGATCTTTGCTTCAGAAAGGGCCACCTTTACCTGCCTTTCTCCCTGGACCCTGGGTGTCAGATGTATCTAGTCACAGAGGGCACAGCACTGGAGCAGAAAGGAGTCCCCACGAGCAAGCCTGCCTCTCACCTGAGGGGCCAGCGACTTCGCTCTGTGGATCAGGACAGGTCTGGGAACCCATTTCTAGGCCTCAGCCCCCAGAAGAGCCAGGGCTTCAGGCCCCTTCTCTTCTGAGGTGCAGACAAAGGTCGACTGGAAAGAACCCCAGGAACAAGAGCGTGCAGAAGGGCGGCCACATGCAAAGGACTCTTTTTTGTTCTGGTGAGGGAGGGTTAATGGGAGAGACGTGTCATGTTATCACTTCAAGGATTTTGACAGACAGTTCCGGGATAAGGGAGAAAACTCCACCCTTAACTGCAGCTCTGAAGACTTGAAAGGCATTCACTAACCTCCACTAATTGCATGTTTTTCTGTGTGTCATATTTACTTGTTGGAAATCTTGCCTGGCCCATTCATTTCCTCTGCCCCGCTATTCATGATCACTCACAGGCCCGAGATTAGAAGAGTGAAGGCATTTGGAAAGATTAAAAGCTCACTACAGTTTGGCAATGATTTCCTTCTTTCCATAGGTCCAGAACCTGCAGAGTATGCCGAGCTCACCCCCCTCCCCTCTTCCATGTGCTCCTTCAGTGAAATCTACCTTTCATCCCTAATTCTTCAGACAGCACGGGGAGCTGTGGGTCCTGCGAGTGATGAACAGACAACCAGCCACCACTGCCTGGGTGGGCAGGTAGCAAGTTCAAGAGAGAATTAATGAATTCACTTTGGATGGATGAAGATTTAGCAGCCCCGTGGGTAGACCGGGCATTTTGATAATGCCGCTTTGCTTGAGTGTGGTTCCATGGGTCTCACTGTGTCCTCCTGATACAACAACCTAGGCCCTACTAGAAATACCCCCCAATTACCATCATCTTCTATCTAAGCCTAGACCCGGTCCAATAGTCCCTAAATTCAGGGCATTAGCCTGGGTAAGTGTGAATGGTTCTAGGCACACCACACAGTCCTTACATCTTAGACACATCATCTCACACATCCTACCCAGAACCTACCCTCATCTAATTCACCCCAAGTCTTCCCAAATTCCTCAAGCTTAGCAGTAAATCAGGAGGCAGCCCTACTCAGCACCGTTTCCAAGCGCACGATTAGCCTCTCAAGACTAAATATCTTGTCTTTTGAGCGGCCATCAGCCAATTAACACTGCTCCAGCTCTCGGGGAAACTGGGAGAGATGCAACCATTTCACTGAAATCCATCTTGAGCAAAAGGAGATTTTATAAGTGTTGAGGGGCTGCCACTTGGAAAGCCAATTTGCAGGGAGACGGGCGGTACAGAGATTAGTATGCATGCTCCCACAGATCAGTACCCTGCAGACGCGCCTTGCTCCAGACGCCTCCCTGTCACCACTGGCTCCAAAGCCTGGTGCTCTCCCCTGCCTCGGTACCCTCCCCAGATGGTCTCCTAATGCCTTGGCTTCTAGCTGAGATGGAGCAGTCACCCCAAAAACCTGTCCAGCCTCCCCCCACGGCATTTTAGTCCTGTGTCAAATACTAGTGAAGTTGTCTTAATTTTCCTTTGGCCAAGGCCAGTTGGGGTGTTAACATGGTTAGTGCCTGAGTGCCCCAACAGCCCACCAATGTAGCTGATCCCTGCTAGCAAGTCTGCCACTACCATTCATACCCGGCAAGCAGCCCAATCATTCAATGGTGCCTCACTTTTGTTTCCCCGGGTTTAATTTTATAATTGTTAACAGTTCGTTCTCCTCCTAGCCATTCAGGGGAAGAAGTGGAAGGGGGGGTGCACTTCTGGAAGGATGCCGGGGGAGAGAGGACAGCCCAATAGTGAGGAAGAAACATCCATGCCAGGCTAGCTGGACAGGGATGGCATCCAGTTCCAGTGTGGTGTGCCCTGACCCCAAGGAACCACTGAGCCTGGACCCAAAGGGTTGGGAGGGGGTAGAAGATGGAGGGTCTCCAATCCCTAAGACTGGCCTCCGGGGTTCTTTCACCCAACAGCGCTCCCCTGCCCCTGCCTAATCTGTCTGGTAGCATGTCCCAAAATAAACACACAAGAGGCTTTCAGCTCGGACAGTCCATGGAATACTGTCCTGGAGGACTGGGTGCTATATGGTTAGTCACCAAATCCCCTGAAGGGACACAGCAAAGAACAGTTAAGTGTGTTGAATGAGTGAAGGAAGAATGATGGAGAGATGATGGATGGATGGATGGATGGATGGACGACAGATGGGTGTTAGTGAAGTTCCCAGCAATGCCCAGCAAAAGTAGCCACTTGACCGCCCTCGGCCCCCCTCCTCACCCCCCTTCTCCAAGTGTCAGCAGAGGCTGGCTGCACACAGTAGGCTCTCCACAGCCCGGGGTGGCTATTGTTATCACCCTCATCATCACTTGCACCCCACCAGCCCTCTCCTTCCACCGGTTACTCCAACAGCAGGCAGCGGCAGCCGGCCAGCCTGGGAAAAGTTTCGCTGACCGCACGGCCCGGCCAAGCCCCCTCCCGCCCGCACCGGCCCCGCGGGCTGCGCAGCGGCGGTGGACGACCCGGGCCGCGCGCCCCGGGTAAGGCAGAGGCGGCCAAAGTAACTTTGAGGGCGCCACGGGCCGCCCGGATGCGGGGACGGGGTCCCCGGCCGCGCCCCCTCCGGCCCGCCGCCCGCACCCGGCCCGTGCGCACTCCCGGCCCGGCCGGGTCCTACCTGGCCCCGGGCTCCTCTTCGGCGGCCGCGAGCAGCAGCGCGCGCGGAGGGCGGCGGGGGCCCGGCTCCCGCGAGGGCGGCGCGCAGGGGCGGGGGCCTCTGCGCCGCGCGGCCGAGGCTGCGAGTGGGAGCCAGACTCCTCCTTCGCGGGGCGGGGGGCTCCCCGCGCCCCCTCCCCCGCCCGGCTCCGCGCCGCCCCGGCCCCGCGCGCCGCCGCGCCGCTCCGCCCGCGCGCACGGGCCCCGCAGGAGCGCGATCGCGGCCTCGGGCCCCGGCCCCGCGCGCCCTCCCGCCCGGGTCCCGGCCACCCCGGCCGCGCCTGGGGCCTCGGCGCCCTCCCGGGCCCGGAGCCCGCATCCCGCCGCTCAGGGGCCGCCCCGCGCCCTCTCCGCGCAGCCCCCAACCCCGGCCGCCGAGCGCCGGGAGAGGGGAGCGGGGCGGGGCGCCCTCACCTCCGGAGCCGCGCGCCACGCTAGGCACCGCGTGCAGGGGCGTGCGTGGCTCTTTTCTGGTGCCCGGGCACCCGCTCCATAGCCAGGACCCCAACCTGGGACCACCGGGGTGCCTTGTCCCTGGAGAGACACAGACACACACCCCCTCTTTCCACACACACACTGGATCAGGCCTGGGTCCTCCAGCTGAGTCCCTATGTCTCCCGGTCTCCCACCTCTGGCCTTCTAGGTGGCCTGCAGTGGCCTCACCCAGAAACCCTGAGACCGCAGGTAAGCCAGTCAAGGAGGCAGAGGATCCAGCACTAGGTTTCAGGGAGGCCCTGGTCAGGGGTCAGGGGTCCTCAGCCTCTCAAACTTCCCAAGCTGGACAGACCTCTGGGTCTCTTTGCCTCTGCCTCCCAGGGGCCTAGCGTGGTCAGGAAACAGGAACCACTCTGGCCTGGGCCTTCCCCCATAATGGAAGTTAGGAGGGAGGCTCCTCCAACTCCCCTTAACCAATGCCTGTGCGTCCGACTTGCCCATCTCGTCTGACCCAGCTCTCTCAGATGGTTAGCATCAGACCCCAAGGACACCTCTGTGGGAACTTGAGGTCTGGGGCTGCTCTGAAGGAGAACCCAGTCTTAAGAGGGAGGCCGAGGGAGACACATGGGAGGAGGGGACAGCTACCTGGGTGGCTTCCTGGAAGTGGAGATGCAGATGCGGCAGTGGATAAGAGCATGCCCAGGGTGGAAAGAACCTTCTAGATAGAGGCTGGTGCAGGCCAGGATCCCAGCCAGGGTGGGATGGTGAGGCTCTGTGGCGTTAGAAGATAGAGAACGCCAAGGAGGGTCAGGTTCTGGGATAAATTAAGCCCGTGGAGTTCTTCAGGAGCCATGGAAGGTTATGGCTGGGGATCCTTGCCTTGCCTTGCTTGCATTTTTGAATAGTGCTCACTCTGGCATCGCAGACAGGGCGTGGGCCTGGGTGTGGAAAGGCTGGGGGGGGGGAGGAACTGATACAGAGGTTCTCCCACTGGGTCCCCACCTCTCACTCCTACACTCTGAAGAGCCCCTTTCCTCCTAGGACTGCAATACCACACCGTGCCTTAGAAAACTGCTCTGCCTATCTGGGAGAGAAGGTTGGGGCACAGGATGTCAGCAGACTCTGTCTGCCGCCTGCCAAGAACAATACTGCAGCTGGGCATGGCCTTTAGGGGACAAGAGCAGAGCAGAGAGAGAGAGACACTGGGCGTCTTGTGACTGTTGTCCTCCAAAGGCTGGGTTCCGCCAGAGCTCAGCTCCCAGATTATCGTCTCTTACCGTGCATCTATTGAGTATCCACCGTATGCCTGGCACTCGGCGTGTGGTTCGGAACCAAGTATGAGCTCGCCACCGAAGATCTGTCATCACCTGTACCACCCACACACCCTGCCTCAGTTAACCCCCTACTCCTCTCCTGGTCCAGGCAGTACCTCCAGAGGTCAGGCCCCAGAACCTGATGCTGCATCTACAGGGTCTGTAGCCCACTCAATGTCAGTGAATGGCTCTGAAAGATGAGGGAATGGGGAACGTGGGGTGGGCAGGACAGACCCGCTCCTAAATGAACAGCCCATCTGGGCAGACAGCAGACATTCTGTGTAAGGGAAAATTTACTAACACAGTGGTCTTGTTCATGAAGAGTGATGGAAACACCACCCGATCCTCACTACTGAACCAGCCAGGGATGCTTGTTCTGATGGGAGGCATTTCCTGGGTGCCTACTGTGTGCTGGAGACCCAGGGAGAGGGCAAGAAGGTGGATTCTCTGCCCCACTTAGACACCGCCAGTCTCTCCCTGCTAGCCTAGGTCTGTCTATCTGGATCCTGACATAGCCGCCCTGGAAAGGGTCACCTCAATGGCACAGGCCTCATCTCAGACCTTCCTCCATATCCAGAGGCTAAGAAGGAAAGGGTACCCCTAGCTATGGATCCTGCTCACCTCCAAGTTCACTGTACAGTGAACACTCCCCAACTCCTGAACCTTGGCTTGAACACAAGCTCAGATTCCTGCTCTGTCCCTTAGGGCCGTGACTCAGAACTTTGATCTCTCCTTCTGTACAGTTGATCAGTGGCCTCCCCCTCAAGGCAGTGCAGCTGGCACCTAGCACAGTCACAGTTTTAGGTACCAAGTCTGGGGATCTGAATTCTAACCTCAGCTTTTCACTAACGTGTCCGGAACCTTGGGCATTCTGGTGTTTGTCTAAATCTCCATTTCCTCATCTTGAGGAGAAAAGGGTGTAACGGAGAGCATGACGCCGTGTGGGGAAAGGACCTTGGGAGCTCTCTGCATCCATCTCTAGCTAGAATTTCATGGTGAGCCAGTGAGATGTCTCAGCTAGGAAAGGTGCTTGCTGCTAAGCCCGAGGACCTGAGTTCGATCCTCAGGACCCACATGGTGGACATAACGAGAGAATCGACTACCACAGTCATCCTCTGTCCTCTGAATGCACACACACACACACACACACACAGAGAGAGAGAGAGAGAGAGAGAGAGAGAGAGAGAGAGAGAGAGAGAGGAGAAATAGATAGATAGATAGATAGATAGATAGATAGATAGATAGATAGATAGATAGATAGATGTAGGATTCTATCAGGCCACAGAAGCCCCCTCAATACCATAGTACTAACCTCATGTGACCCATGAAAATCTGGGTGGGAACCAGATGTAGGTGTGTCTGGGCAGGGAAACCACCCCTGTTATCTACAGAGACTAAAATGCCAGGTCCAATGGCTCCCAAGGAGATGGGTCCTGGCCACTGGTGCCCTCTGAGTTACCATTTACAAGTCACTGGTAGATGGTTTTGAGCGTTAGTGCTCCTGTCCTCGGACCCTCTGTGGTGGCTGCTAAAGAATTTTCTCAGCTGTCTTCTTGCTGACTTATTTTTACAACAGTCTGGCATGGATCCAAGCAAGGGGTAGCCTCCCCACAAAGGGGAGGAAGCTTCAGCTGATGGACTAAAAACTATGGGGCAGGGGGGTACTCCGAAGGTTTCAAAACCTGTCCAGCTAGTCTAAAGTTGGGATGTGGGGCCAACCCTCACACTACAGTTACCTTCCACCGTCCCTTCTGCTCATTCTGCCCCCAGCCTGGTGCCGGGCAACTCCTTCCAACATTTTTAAAGCCCCCACCATCCCAGGCAGGCTCTGTGGGGCTCAGCTGAGCTGTCCAGGGTCCTGGCCAGGCCCACTCTCACCCCAAAGGCTTCTCTGATTTGTCTCCTACACACACACACACACACACACACACACACACACACACACACACACACACCTCCCTCCTGGAAATCAAAAGGAAACCAGAATCTGAAGCCGGGCCAGCCCCTACCACATGTCAGCGCCCAAGGCATCAGTGGCCATTTCTGAAAAGGGAGAGCAACCCAGAGCAGGCCAGGACTCAAGATCAACCATAGTCCCAACCTACAGGCCTGGCAAAGACACCGACCTGGAGGGACAGTGGCCCCATGCTGCCGTTGAACACCAAGCCCTGGATGGGGTGAAGCTTTGAAACTAAGTGACTGCTACACCCTGTTGACCAGGGAGGGACGCTGGCTGGGGAAACACAGAGAAGAAATTGCAGAGTGCCCGGTGCCATAGGCCAGGAAAGGGAGGGGGGGAGAGAGAGAGAGAGAGAGAGAGAGAGAGAGAGAGAGAGAGAGAGAGAGAGAGGGAGAGAGAGGGAGAGAGAGGGAGAGGGAGAGGGGGAGAGATCTAGCAGGGCTGACGGTGACACTGGAGTCATCCTGGGTGGGGCAGCTCTTGAGCCAGTCTTTCCAGAGAGGCACAAGGGATCCAATGATCCTAGGGCCGTTCTGGGAGAGGGCTGTGAGCACCCGCAGGCTCCAGCAGTAGAACTAAGTGTCCCCAGTCACACATGGCTGGCCGCACCTCATGTGACCCCCCTGACCCTCTTTCTGGAAGAAGATGCTGAGCCAGGGGGAGGGGCTTTGGGCAGCCCGTGGACCTCATAGCACCCCGGCTCCAGACACTACTGCTCTCCACGCCATGCTGAGTCAATGGAACAGGTAAGAAGACTGAAGGAGAAGACACAGGTCAAGTGGTCAGGGCTGAGGTGCTCAGTGTTCAACATCTTTGTCCGTGGGTCACAGAACGGGGCGAGTGGGGGCAGGGGCCTCCTGGTCATCCCTTGGCTCCTGTGCATCTGTCTACTTGTTCCCTATCCAGTAGTGAGCGTACATACATACACACACACACACACACACACACACACACACACACACACACACACAGGACCTCAGTATCCCCCATTGTGTTCAAGACTAAATCCTATATGAAGGATAAATAATTTAGGCCAGAAAACCCTCTTGAGCCTCCAGGAGGTTGCATCAACTCTGCCTGAGCCTGTGAGACTTGAGTGGGACTGGGAGCCAAGAGGGCATCTGGGCAGGCCTGGCATCCAGCAGTGCCAGCCGCCAGGAATACCCGGGAGCCAATGCCTGTGCTACACAGCCCTGCCCCACCCTCTCCTACCAGAAGTCCCTTTTTACCTCCCTTCTGGGGTAGGCAATGTAACCAGCTGGAGACAACCCTGCCCGAGGTGTCAGACGGGCTTGGGCATGCCTCTGGGTCCTGAGCCAGGCGCTCGGCCTGTTGCCTCACCTGTAATGCGAGGCTTGCCTCATAGGCTGTGCCAACTATGCTAGACAGGGATTCGGAGCTGCCTCAAGCTCTCTGTCTGCCACATGCACAGAGCAGGGAGGGCCCCCAGGGAGCCTGCAGGGCTGGCCAGCCCACCCTGAGGCCGTAGCCCTGTGCTAGCCCCGTTGGATCTCTAGTTCCATTCCCTCTACCCAGCAGGTACATAGTGAGTTTGAAACTCCCCAAGATGCTTACAGCCACCACCACCCCCAGTAACCACCTTACTTTTGGAGGTGTCTGAATTGTGAAATAGAGTCTACTGGGCAGTCACTGACCCAGAATGAGAAAGGTAAAAAAGAAGAGCTGATTAGTGGAGGGTCCACTAATCTAGGAGAGGTACCAGAAAGCTAGGGAGACCCAAGAGGCTAGAGAAGTCTAGCTGAGCCTCGGGTTCCCTTCTTGGGAAAG